TTGAACAATTTTTATAAAAAAAATTTTTTTTTTACATTTTGTCAAATTTCGCGAATACGGACCATTTTAGCAAAATTTTGTATATATTAAAAATTATAGATAATAAAATAAGAAGTAACTTTCATTTGAAGAATTTTCTTCCCCAAACGTAAATAACAGATATATTCCATAAAATATAAAAATGACCACCCATAAAGTACCCCCTCAAATGTTCCGACTCTGCCCAAAATCTAATCAGCTCATTAGACGTTGGAACAAAGCTTAAGTTTGAAATTTGGTGTTTTTCCGTGTATCGGTTCATGAGTTATGCGTTATACAGACACACACACACACACACACACACACACACACACACACACACACACACACACACACACACACACACACACAGACACACACACACACACACACACACACACACACACACACACACACACAGACACACACACACACAGACACACACACACACACACACACACACACAGACATCATCGCGAAAATAGTTAAAACGGATTCAGGGGACCTCAAAACGTAAAAATCCGTCGAAAACTCGAGGTCGAAAAAAATCATGATTCCTATACTTTCCTTATATCTGTATACAGATAGGAAAGTAAAAATACACAAGACAAAAATTATTCATGAAACTTTTTTTCTTGATTTGGCATTAGCAGATTGCCATATAATACTATCAGAATAAAAGTAAGCTGGTCTTGATGGCTGATGTCCGGGGTAGAGCTTACAATTATTATTATAGATAATTATTTGCACGGGCGGCTCGTTACCAAAATATTGGGAGTTCACAATGAGAGAATATAAATCTCAGTACAGATTAAGGTAAAAAACTGTATTTTAGAAAGATATGTTATACAGTATACACACTATATTCTGTCATTGTGAAACCCAATGTTTTGGTTAAAATCCGCCACTGATTGGCTTCTTTGACTTCTAGTATCAAAGTATCTACAAGTTTTGTTTTCATCACTTCCAGGAATTTATTTCAAATTTGATGAGACAGATAGCTAACTGACCCTTTTCCTTTATTCGTATATCGCTGTAAATGCTCAGCTAAGTTGTCAAATTTAGCCAAATATACAAGACAAATTAAGCAATATTCTTTATGACTGGTTAAATCCTCATTGAATCCACAAAGTGCTATTCCCTGGGGAGCAAGTAATTTAATGGTGGTAACAATTCTTCTCTATTGTATTTCTTTATCCCTATTTTTGATTAAAAAATATTATAAAATGGGTCATCGTTGAGGTTTATCTTAAAATACTAAACTCACTGATATTAAATGGCGGAAGATTTTTTTTTGGTGTGCAAGTGCAATTACAACTTATAATTGACCATTAATCATTCGCTAGACAGTTTTGACTACTAAATTCAGACAAGATTTCTCGACCATTCGAACTGATCCTAACCGATCAACTGATTACTCGTGACTAATCATGTTGGTCAGCTTTCTTTTTCGCTTTTTTAAAAAAATGGCATTTATTCTCACCAAAACTGACTAGCGCCACTAGCTCGAGTTTGACATGACGTAAAAGTGTCATGCAAAAATGCGGATACTTTTAGTATTGTCATAGCATCTTCTCTTTATTTTATCTCAATGATTGGAAAGGTTTGTATGCCCCGTTCTACTTTTTGACGTCACGTCTTGTTTATGTTCGATGCACAAAATAACGTGGTTTTAAGTAGTCACATTATTTGTTTCACAGATCTGTTGACCTGTTTTTTTTACTACAGGCATTTGCGGAAACCTCTGGTGCTCAATCAGCATAGTGTACCGACAGATACTCGACGAGACAAACCGAAGTGGCGTACCAATGAAAATAATAAAAATATTAAAATTAAATTATATTTTTATATTTATGCGATTTAATAATATTGTGTTTTTATGAAATTGAACTTGGTGTTCACTGCACAAATGAATCAATGGAGAAACGCCCCTGTTATAGTACCATAATTAATTTTGAGACTCAAAACTTTTCAGACGATCCACGTATAATATGCGAATTTTAAATTTAATTAACGAAACGTATATCTGCTTAATTTAGTTCGTGCAATTTTAGCTATTATATACTATATTACGATGTAAAGTAACATACATAACAATACCACATTATTACGTCTTACATTCCAGCGAAACAAAAACATTCTTATATTTCTAATTACAAACCATAAATTTTTTCAGTTTAATAACTGTGTTTCCTTTTTTTAACACAATGATGAAATGTACCTGTTATCATTAAATTTATAGCCGAAAACAATGATATTTTTACGCTCTACAAAGTAGTGATTTCTTAAATATTTGAATATCCACATCGGATGCATCTGAGATGTTGTAAATTTTTTATCACGTGATAGAGAATTAGATCTGAATGAAGATGTAATAAACAAACGCTCTAGACTTTATTGGTCATGTGATAAAATGACAAATTAGAAGTTTATAATTTTTAAATTTGACTTTTGAGACTACAAATCAACTAAAATTTGAAATCTAAACAAAAATTAAACAAATTAATCACTTTTAAATTCATGCTAGCCAAAACAAAAAATAAATTGACAAATTTGGCTTCACAGAATACTTACTTTCTGGCATGTAACGAACATCTCATTCGCATCTCATTTCAAATCGAGATGTAAAAAATGTAATCCGGACAGGTACATCTCGGATAATGGATAAACAAACGCAGATGTAGATGTAGTAGATCTGTCCGATGTGGATAAACAAACTCTCGAGATGTAAAAAATGCATCGGATGCGGATTTTCAAACGCGGCAATTGAAACCATTATAAAATCTAAATAAATTGTCAAACAATTATTAGCACATTGCTCCATTCTTGACCCGATACCATTTTTACGCAATATCAGTGGATTAGAAAACATATCTATTTTACTATTTATGCAGATAATACATCTGTTATTGTCTTGGAATGGATTGAGAAAGTTCATCGTTTGATAAGAGATAAGCAGAGAACTCTAGATCTTAAACTCTAGATCTTGAATTCTGGATGTTGAACTCTAGATCTATAACTCTAAATCTCGAACTCTAGATCGTGAACTCTAGATCTTGAACTATAGATCTTGAACTCTAGATCTTGAACTCTAGATGTTGAACTCTAGATGTTGAACTCTAGATCTTGAACTCTAGATCTTGAACTCTAGATCTTGAACTCTTGATCTTGAACTCTAGATCTTGAATCAACTAACAATGGAATATTAAACAGTTATAAATCATTAGCAAAAAATTGTAAATGTCTATAATAAAATAGTAGTTATTGTTTTCCAACTCGTAGGAGTTTGAATATACACTTTTCGTCCGTTTTTTATACATTATTTTTTATTCGAATGTGCTTAGAGATTAAAAAAAATAGAATATTAAATCCGAAATGATATTATTTCCAATTTTTCTTATAACTGAGATGGCTGTGGTCGTTAAGAATAGCTAGATATATTTTTAATAACAATTGAATATTTGTTGTTGTCAATGTGCTTATGTGTCAAATCGATTTAATTAATAGCTTTGTTCCAACAGCAGGAGTGCGTTTAGAAACCTCGCACGGCGCGTCTGGACCCTAATCTAATGTATGTGGTTTATATAAACGCACTCCAGTACAGAATAGATCAGTTAAAAGGTACTGCTCATGCGCAGATAAATTCGGACCGGTTCTGTTGGGAAAAACCTGTAGTTTATTCGAGGAGCTTGCGCGCAAAACTGTCCAGCATAACTCAAAAGTCAGAAAAGTAATATTTTACCTACACCGATTTCTCATTTAATTAAGATTTTGTTTTCAATAAAAATAGTTTTAGGATGTATTTTGAGTTTTGAATACCAAACATTTTTTCAAAAATCGCTCGCAGATTATGAGATATACAAAGAAACAGTTTGGACTGCTTTAGTTTTGCTTGAAAGGATGGAAATTATTAAGTTTGGCTACAAATTTTACTACAACTTTTACTCCAAGTTGTACTACAAATTTTATTACAAATTTTACTACAAATTTTACTACAAATTACAAATTTTATTACAAATTTTGCTACAAATTTTACTACAAATTTTAATACAAATTTTACTACAAATTTTACTATAAATGTTATTACAAATTTTACTACAAATTTTACTACAAATTTTACTACAAATTTTATACAAATTTTACTACAAATTTTACTACAAATTATACTACAAATTTTATACAAATTTTACTACAAATTTTACTACAAATTATACTACAAATTTTACTACAAATTATCCTACAAATTATCCTACAAATTTTACTACAAATTTTACTACAAATTATACTACAAATATTAATACAGGGCCATAAATACTTGTTTAATTTTGCGGTGAAGGGGTTCATTTCTAATTTAATAACATATCAATATTTGTTGTTTTGTTATAAAATAGCTTGTAATGGGAACGTAATTTGTTCAGTTTTGTTGAACAATAGAAGTTTGATAGTACGTTTAGAATATGATTTTGTCTAATTTTGGTGTAAAATTGTTGAGGACTTGTTGAGTTTTAGCATTTTAAAGCGATCTGGTGCTATAACTCATTTATTTCAGATATTTTATTTTATATCGAATTAAAACCAAGCCATTTATGTTCTATTCGAATTATTTTAGGTTTTCTCTTATTCAATTAAAAATTATGGACTACTATTTTATAACAAAAAAAAAAAATAGAACAAACAGTATTGTTAAAAAGTGAACTGAAAATAAAACAGAATGTTTAAATAGCAAAGTCGCTTTACTTGTTGGAGGGGGAGAGGGGGTGGGTTGTAAAAATATTTAAAGTTCTACTTTTCATTTTATAACATATTCTAATAAAAAATTATTTTATAAAACAGAACCTAAATTTAAAGCACACTGGTACTCCATATGAGATCTTAATGTAGTACGCCTATTTGATTCAATTCCTATTATATCCAATTTGGGAATAAGCGGATCATTTTAAATATTAGAAATATTGTGTAAATAATAAAAATTTTTTTTGCAGGAAATAACAATGCGTCCTCAAAAGAAGGTCAACTGCAGTGGCGCGGCAACCGGAGCATCAGCAATGGGGGGCACACAGGGTGCAACGGAACATCCCTCTGCGGGAGTCTGGGGGGGCTCGACGGGGGGTTTGGGGACGGCGAAGGCACCCCGGGGGGGACCGAAGGGGGTGCAGCAGGGCAGGACAAGCTGGAGAGGCCGGGCGCAATTGAGGATGACGCTATTCACCTCAAGAGACGGGTGGGACTCATCAGTGGGGTGGCTTTAATTGTTGGGACTATGATTGGTAAGTTAATTTTTTTATTTAAATTATTTTTAGATGTTTTTAGTTTATAGAATTTTTTTTTATTGCAAAACTTCAATGCAAGATTCATATCAAGGTATTCTTTTCAGGATCCGGAATTTTCGTTTCCCCGTCTGGACTTCTTGAAAGAACAGGATCAATCGGGATGAGTTTTGTGATATGGATGGCATGTGGATTGTTATCCTTATTGGGTAAGTTCTAGATAATTTAGTGTTATAGGTACGTTTTATCGTTAAATAATTTTTTGACTTAAACATTAATTTGTTTTTATAATTCCAGTAACTTGAAAAAGTTAAAGAACTTGAGTTGTATTGATACAGAACCAATATTTTTAAACTAGAGCACTATTAATACAAGAAATATTATCCGTTGACAAGCCATTCTGCAAATAGGAAATTATGAGAATATAGTCTTAAAATTTTCTTGCGAAAGAATATTTCTATCAATATTGAACTTCTCAATTGCTGGAATTTCTGCCTGGAAGATGATTTGTTATACTTACCCAAACTTTTAGAGTATTTGATTCTAGGTCCATACACTCCAGTTCTTTCTGTAGTTTTGGAACCATATGTATACCACTGAAATACAAATCTTTTGGTTGCAAACCCGACTGATTCTTGACTCCATTTTTCTTACAGCTCAACTCTTTAGTTTTGAAATTTTTCAAAGAACTGTACTTCTTTCCTATTTCGTCCTGGGACATATCCCAAGAATCGTCGGTCTTGAAACTAACATACTTCCGTCTGATTACTCCGTTCTTAAACATAAAATTGGCTGTGTGCAATAGTGCCAGTGTAGTTAAAACTAAGCTTACCGAGATTCTCATAGCAGCAAAAGAAATTACCAAAAATAATCAGAAATAATATTACTGAAAGGAAAATGTTTATCTATACAGACAATAGACAATTTCGCGAAGTGAAAACATTTAGAAATATTGCTGATGTCTAAATAAAATAAAATAATCACAAATATGACCCCTAGGGTAGCCTAGAAGTTACTAGACAAAATTTTGTGCACAATACCCTTCGAGCATATATATTTCATAGAGTCCGCATTCAATGGCGTTTATTTGGATTCAGAGGGAAAATGTTTGCGGACAGGACACTATAACCAGTGTGGCATCATTTTTATGGGGTTTGTAATTAATATAAATAATAAATTAAATACCTACCTTGAAAATACATTTTGTAAATTTGGTACATGTATTATATATTTTAATAACCGACTTCAAAAAAGGAGGAGGTTCCCAATTCGTCGTAGTATTTTTTTTATGTATGTTAGGCGACAATTTTTTAACACACTGACAGATTCAGTAGTGGTCCCATATTAATTTGATCAAAATCTAATAATTGGGTCCATTAGAAAATCCTCAAACTCTTCATTTTTAATGTATGTTCAGCGGTAATTCTTTACCACCTTGTCCATTTTCTATGATTCTTTTTTGTTAGTAAAGGGGTATCTCAGGGGTGGTAAAAAAATACTTGTTTATTTCGCGAACGCATTAGCCGGATATTTTCGCGACGAAATGTTCTTAACAATTTAAAATATAAATGAATAGTAGGTATATTGTACGAATATTTATGATAGCTATTAACACGTGTATGAGAATTACGATACGAGATATTATTCTAATAGTGTAACAATAATATATTGCATATAAAAATATTGTTCGCAAGCAATGTCCTATAGATTACTAAACAATATACTATAAAAAGAAATCAAGCTAAATATCCAATTTAGAAAAAATATATATCCAACACACACGAAGAAATAATGGAAGTCATTTGTAATACAAATTTAAGCACAACTTTGACACGCGCTCTCCCTAAATTTACCATTTATTTTAAATTCAAGTTTAACCCCTTATTATTATTTCTCTGAAATGTACGTTCCCTTTTAAAAAATGTTATAGACGCTAATGGATACTTGCTTGTGAAATGGCCTGATTCCTTTTCATATTTGTATTTACAAACTACACAAACTTTCACCATTGTTCAAATTTGTATTAATATTAAAAAATACAATAATATCTATAAAACATTAATAAAATTACTCATAAACGGCTAAAATAAGCTCAAGATTGATGAAAACAAAAAAAAATGACATTTCTGACAATTTCGGAAAATTTGACATGCCAAGCAAATCGAAACAGACCATTTACAGTGTATCGTGGACCATTGATACTATTTTGCCCCCTGTACCAAAACCAAGTTCATTTGGACGATGGCTCTAGTAATATATGCTCGAAGACAATACCGCCCAGTTAAGTATGACTCAAACCACTTTAGTGAACTATCATATTGAATATGTTATGGCGTGCCTGATTATGAAGAAATAATTTTTAAACCGGTCACTAATAAATAACTTATGAGTTTAGGTTAGGTTGAAAATGATCTCATCACCTTCTACTACGACTCAGATTTAGCTATTGGGGCTCTTGTCTAACTTATAGTTCCGTACAAGCCACATTTTTTAATGAAGGTCATGGTTGGATTGGGTGAGACTTAAAATGTGCTCTGCAGATTCGTCTTCCACGCTGCAGAATCGACAGTCCAATGTTTGTTGTAGACCTATCCTTCTCATATATTGACAGCTATCTGCAAACCAAAACAAATTCAAAAAACCTCATGTCTTAACATAACAGGAAGCATGAATACCACACCGACCAGAGCCATGGAAGTTATTCTTAGTCTCACTCCCCTTGATATTTACATTAAGGAGGTTGCTCTTATGACAATGACATGTCTCTGCATGGTTGGAATAGAACCTAATGTATGAACTGGGTGAGGCGAGGTGTCGCTTTTAACAGGAGGCGCTCGATACGCTTCGACTGTTTCAAGTTAACATGGACTCCATCTCACCAAAATATATGTTCCATAAGCCATATAAAGTTATAATAGAATAAATAGAAGAGCCGGAAGTGGCAGGTACGATTCATATCTATACAGACAATTTTAAAACCAAACTAGTTTCAGGATGTGGCATTTACTCCTGGTCTTTAAAACGTTTAAAACGAGCTGATAGGGATTCTCTTAGCAGCAAAAGAAATCACCAGAAATAATATCACTGGAATAAACATGCTCATCTATACAGATATCAGACAACCACTACCCACCCTAATCAGATCACGAATTTGTTTAGGCTTAGTTCTAGAATGTCACGAAGCTTTGGACGAAGTATCCATCAACAATGTGGTCGACTTAAGATGGATTAAAGGTCACGTCACATCGAAAGGTAGCCGCATTGCCAAGAAGGCAGCCAACCAAATACTTTTTCGACCTGACCCTTTTATTGGACTTATAACTTTGGTAGTGACAAACCTAATAAAAGAACATTCCCTTGTGAAATTCAAAAAAAGATGGGATGAAACAAGAAGCTGCAGACTTGCCAGGGTGCATTTAAGTTATGCTGACAATACTGCAGCGAACAAATACTTGACTATGACTAGACAGGATCTGCGGCTCATCACAAGCATTCTGACTGAACATTGCCAAATAATATAGAATTCACATTCCGCAGGGGATGCGAATAAGAAGATGAGACCATCGAGCATATTCTCTACAATTGCCTGACTCACGTATTAGATTTGTGTTTGGCGAGAATTGATTAACACCAGCCTATACAAGAGAAGCACTTATTGGCGACGTTGTCAACTACATCAAATCTGTAGGCTGACTCACGATCTCGGAGATGCCTATCGACTTAGGAGGATGCACAATGGGCCTAGTGAAGCCTAAGTGCCGTGGATTAACCCACCCTCCTCACGTTAGAGATACAGATTCTCATGAGGTTACGCAGACGAAAATGTCCTGTCATCAGAGGTAATCCTGATATGCTCGTATATGGCTACCCTCACCTTTAATCTTTTTGTTCTTTTTTATGCAGATTATTTATTGTGTTACAAATAGGATTTATTAAAAGTAACACACCGGATTTATATTAAAAATCGATATTCCATAATTACAAAGCACCTAACGATAAACTTCTGTTTATGACAACCTAAATTGCATCCAAACCAAACCTATTCACATTAATAAAATAGCAAATCAAGCGAAAGTGGGCATATCCCATTTCAAATACTTTTCCTTTTTATACGTTTTCCTTTTTCAGACAGGAAATTGGCACTGAAAGTGAGAAATATAAATACATTTTTGCTTTCCACACTTCATTGATACGTTAAGAATCTAAAAATAAGATCGTTCGACGTTATTTAAAAAATCAAAACGAGTAGGTGGCCGAAGTAATGAGTAACAAGCGCATCATTTTAGGTCAATGCTTCACGACAAATAATTATACCGTAGTTTGTATTTTTTTATTTAAATAAAACTAATAAATACTGTTGGGTAAATAATTGCATATAAAGTTTAGGTTTTAAACAAAAATGATTTATTATAAATAATGTGACATTATTATATAAAATATAACATTGAAAATTCTAGTGACAAACTGTCAACTGTCATCGTTATGACCAACAGGGTCAACAACGTGAGTACTTTAAATATTTTCAACATTAACAAGTATTCTTTATATTAAACTTTCGGTTGCGCGAATCACAGTCACAATTATTAGGTTTTATGCGATAGATATTCTTGTTGCCGTTTTCGAATTTAAGTGAACCTAACCTAGAACTAACATTATTTAAACAACTCGATTCATGTTTTAGAACAATATTTCTCTTTTACCATTATGTTTTCTTACCCTGCTCCATAAGTTATTTATCTCTTCAACAATTATTATTTTACATTTTTCCCGATATTTATGTTAAATTGCATTCAACCAGGTCTCTGAAGATAAGTTTTCAAAAAACGTCATAACTTCAGAATGAATTTCGTCTTTATTAGAAAATATAGAAGATATTTGTTAAATCAAAGAATAGCCAGAAGACACTCGTAGCCAAATCTGCTGAATACTATGGATGTTTCAACTTTTTAAAATCTATATCCTACAAATCCTACCAAAATTCATCTATTAATAATTTGTCAGTATGAGATGCCGCGTTATTATGGAGTTTTGAATATCTGGAGTGAACTTAGTCACATATCATTAAAGAGTTAGTGTCTTCTGTTCTTCAAGCTTAAAAGCCTTGATTTAATCTGTACTGAGAATTAAAACTGGTTTAAACAAGCCAATTAACAATTTGTGTTTAAAAAATAGGATAAAGAAGTTTTTGACGACTACATCTTTTTACAGT